ACTGGGGTGGGCTTTGAGGTTTCAAAATCCCAGACCACTTCATGTTTTCCCTTTGTCTCATGGTTGTGTTTCAAGATGTAAGCTCTCAACTGCTTTCCCAATGCCATGCCTGCCTGCTGCTATGCTTCCCACCATGATGGTCATGAACTTCTACTCTGAAACTCTAAGCCCCAGATAAACTCTCCTGTAAGTTGCCTTAGTCATGGCATCTCTTCACAGACATAGAATAGTAGTTAAGATGGTTCCAGATGTAGGTTTACATTGACTCACAACTCCAGAGCATGAAGCTCAAGATCCAACAGCCCCATTTGTTTTCTGGTGAGGATGATGACTCAAGGGAAAGATGGCAGGAGTCTACACTGAGATGACAGTTGGCATCTTGAGTCAGGAAGGTGAGGGAATTGGCAGGGTGCTACTGTTTAAATTTGAAACATCACCCAAAGGCTCGTTTTGAACACTGGGTCCCTAGTTTATGGCACTAGTTTGAAAGCTGTGGAGCCTTCATGAGATGGGAACTGACTGGTTTGAAATAGGTCACTGGGAACGGACCTTTTAAGGCATGCACTCCTGGTTAGAACTTGTGTTTTCTGCTTCTTGTTCTGGGGCCATGTAAATAGTCACCCATACAAGCTCTTGCTACAATACCTTCCCAGCCATGATTGACAGACATCTCTTAGCTGGTGCCAAATAAACCTTCCTTAAGTTGTATGCATTAAGGATGTCACAGCATCTACAAAAGGAACAAATACAGAAGGTCTTACAAATCCCTTGGAATTCATGCCACAATACTTAGAGACCTACCAAACCTTACTTCTTGAAGGTCTAAGTACCTCTCCTAAGTATCCCCACCCCAGAACCAGTCCTTTATCATGGATCTCTGGGGAACATTCATCCAAACTATAGAAGGTGTACTATGGAAAATAAACCAGGGGATAGTTGAGAGAGAAAATTTCATGGTGGGGAGACCAGTTAAGAGTTTGCAGGCGAGGCAGTGGTGGCGCACATCTTTAATCCCAGCACTCAGGAGGCAGAGGCAGGCGGATCTCTGTGAGTTCGAGACCAGCCTGGTCTACAAGAGCTAGTTCCAGGACAGCCTCCAAAGGCACAGAGAAACCCTGTTTCAAAAAAAAAGAGTTTGCAGTAATATAAGGGAGACATGATAGTGGCCAGGACAGGGGAAAAATATGTACAGAAGAACAACAATGATGATTGCGATGGAGGGGGATCAGGGAAGGCGACCTATCATATACAAGAAGGTATAAATAACTCAAAAGACACAAGCCTGAGTTTAAGCCTCGTCTTCTGGATTGGACTGTCTCAAATGGTTCTAGCTGCTATAACAATGAACCATAGGAACAGCAGCATATAAATAACAAAGTTTATTCATCACATCTCTGGAGGCTGGAAAACCCAAGATCCAGGTGCTATTGTTGGGTTCTGATGAGAGCTGTGGGTATGTTGCATACAGCTGTCTTCTTGATGAGAGCTCCCTCAGGCCTCTTTCTTTGGGACAATATCCCATTCATAACAACTTTTCCCCTAATGGCTAATCAGTAAGATTGCTCAACAGGTAAAGATACCTGCCACCAAACCTGCCAACCTGAATTCAATCCCCAGAAACCGCACCGTGGAAAAAAAGAACCAATTCTTTCAAGTTGTACTTTAACCTTCAAACACATGCAATGGTACATGTGTACACATAACTACACATATATGAAATAAATGCAATAATAATTAAAACAATTTAATCACCTACCTTCACCTCCTAATGTCATCGTCAACTTGATGGGTAGGATTTCTGTGTGAATTTTGAGGGAGATGCAAATATTCAGACCATGAAGCAAACCTCAGAAGCTGAAACTAAATCATGGAGGTTACTTTCTCCTACAGCTCTTTAGTTACTGCCTGCACACAGTTTCAGTATGCTTCCCCAGGATCTCCCCACCCCTGACTTGATTGGGTTGTTGGTGCTCCAAATTCACAGGCCTACTGTAAATGAACGTGGGTCATGGGAAGAATGTATTAGCCATATGGTTTCTAGGAGTAGTAGCTTATAGGATTATAACATTTAAAAGAGCAACCAGGGGCCAGGTGCAGTGGTGCACGCCTTTAATCACAGCAACTGGAAGGTAGAGGTAGGAGGATCGCTCTTGAGTTTGCAGGTGGCCTGGTATACATAATAGGTTCCAGGACAGCTAGACCTACATAGAGCGACCTTGTCAAGAAAAGAAAAGTGGCTAGGGAAGCACATGTTTTGTAAAGTGGCCATCATTTATTAGCAACACACTAGTGAGAAGAGACAACTGAGGCTAGACTCATGGAACTTTTCAGAAGAGTGGTGAAAAGGGGGATTGTTACTGTGGATCTGAGTCCACAGGAGAACTCTAGCAATGAGAAAACATGGACAAAAAGGTATATCTTTCTGTATATATGTTTGTCTTATTGGTTGATGAATAAAACACTTCTTTGGCTAATCAGGCAGGAAGATAGGTGAGACTAGGAGATGAGGAGGATTCTGGGAGGTGTAAGCAGAGTCGGAGTCATCATGTGATTCCTGGGAAGAGAGGACACCAGTGAGGTGTTCTCTGGTAAGAAAAGATCATGTAGAAATACATAGATTAGTAGCTATTGGTTAATAATTAAGACAGAGCTAGCCAGTAAGAAGTTCAAGTCAACAGCCAATAGTATTATAATTAATATAAGTCTCTGAGTGTTCATTTGGGGCTGATGCAATTGTGGAACCAGGCTGGTGGGAAAGAGTTAACATAACAAAGGCATATTGCTGCATGATGATAGTATCACAGCCTAGGTATGCTAAGCAGCACTCTGAATGCCCACCCAGAATCCACATCCCCAAACCCCATCACACTGGCAAAAGAGCTGGCTAATCAATCTGAAAAGAAAAAACTAGCCTTGAAAATTGTTTCTTTATTATTACTTATAATATGGTGTGTGTGTGTGTGTGTGCCACATATGTGTAGGTGCCCACAGAGATCAGAAGTGGGTACTATATCTCTTGAAGCTGGGATCTAAGGTAGTTGTGAGCTACCTGAGATGAATACTTAGGACAAAGCTCCAGTCCCCTGAAAGAACAGAAAGACAGTGCTTTTAACCACTGAACTGTCTCTCCAGCCCCATTAATTAGTTTAAGAATGTGTGTGTGTGTGTGTGTGTGTGTGTGTGTGTGTGTGTGTGTGTGTGTGTGTGTGTGTTGGTCTTGGTGACCGGGAGAGTGCACTATATCTACCCACAGTTCAGCAATGTGTTCCTAGTTCTACAACTTCTTGTCTTTCTTCTGTTTGAGAAAAGAAACAGTTATTTCTCAAAAGTAGAAACATGGTTCTGCCCTTCCCTATCCTGACCTATGTGGAAATTTACTCAGCTTTTAGAGTCAGTTTCTTCTTTTATAAAAGTAATAATGCCTACCCTGGAAAGGTTCCTATAGGGTTGAAATCAGACGTGCAACCTAAGGCATGTAGCACCATATGGGGAGGTGTAACCACTCAATGATGTTTGTATGTTGGATTATGAAGTGCAACCTCTTTGAAGTACATTTCTCCAAATATCAAGCCACCCTCCATCCTCCACTCCCCACCCCCTACCCCCCACCCCCACCCCCCAACCCCATCTAGGTTGTTCTATTTTTTGAGACAGTGTCTGGGCTGGCCTCTACTTTGAGCCCTGATCTCCTTAGCAGCAAAGTGGAATGGATACTTGAAGTGTCGCTGCTGAGTCAGGTGATACACAGCAAGAAAGAGATCTTCTCATTGTGTGACATAGTATACAATCACAGTATCCCCACCTAGCATGGAAGACGACTCAGAAGCAAATCTAAGAGAGAAGAAAGTAACCCTTCAACCAGAAAAACAAAACAAAAACAAACAACAAAAAAACAATTTTGCCAACAAGAAGTCATAAATGTCTCCCGCCCGTTTTCTTACTTAGGAAGACCTTTGAGCACACATTTCCCTTTTCTCGGTAGACTTCCTCCATTCATTAAATTAATCGTTTAAAACTTGGGTCAGTGGCTGGAGAGATAGTTCAACTGTTAAAATGCTTGCAAGCGTAAGGATCTGAGTCTGGTGCCTAGAATCAGGTTAAAAAAAAAAAAAAAGTCAGGCTAGGGAGGTGGTAATGGAGGATTCCTGGAGCTTCTTGGATAGCCAGGATATCCAGTGTGGCCTGATTGGTTGAGCCCCCGTTCCCAGTGACTATCTCAAAAAGAAAAAGAAAAGAGAAAAAAAAGACCCTAAGTAGAAGGGTAGACAGTAGTCTTGAGAAACAAGTCTGAGATTGCCCTCTGGCCACCACATACATTGCTTTGCACGCAATCAGAAACACTATGCAGGTAACTGCTCAGAAGGACTGACAGACACAAAAAGTGAAGCCCCTCCAGGTTATATTTACATATTCCAGTTTTGAGCCCATACTACTCGTTTTGTGCTTATTTTGCTTAGATCTGTCCTTTTCCCAAGAGTCATTTTCTCTGAGAACAAGATAATGATGATTTGGTGAGCTTTCAGTAAATATGGATTGAGATAATGAATGAAAGAAAATTATCCAAAACTTGTGACACAAAAGGAAAACCACGCGCGCGCGCACACACACACACAACACCCTGAGGGTAGTGTGGAGCCCCAGATCGATAAACTTAAGGTCCACGCCTACCTCCAGCTGGTGCTAACCAAACTAACCATTCCCCCTTTGGGTTTGAAGGAAGGGGTGGGTTTAAAGGCGGATACTAGAACCCAGTACAAGGCAGTCGTTTAAATGAACAAATGTTCATACCCGGGTGGAGACCCAGGCCTCAGCGAGTCAGTAGAAAGCAGGTTGACATTTCCACGGGTCCCCAGGGTCCTGCCTGGTGCTGCGCACGGTGATCTGCAGCACCCTGCCTCAGCTCCGCTCATCCTCCATCACCCTCCTGCCCGCTGGAGCCACCACCTCCGGGTCGGTGGGTACCGATATCCTGTGGAAGGCGCTGTCCTCCGCGTGAGACCATGAAACTCGAGTTCGCGGCACTCAACATCCCGCTGGCGCGGTGTCTGCAGACCGCGGCGGTGCTTGTGGGGCTTTTCTCTTTCCTCCTGATGGGTAAGAGCCCCGCTGTGCCACACTCTCCTCCACCCACATTTCTCACCCTACCGGTCTCCAGTCAGCCAGTTCAGACAGGGCATTCACCTACCGTGGTTTGGGTTCTTCTTCACTTGTGGCAAATAACTTTGGCCAACTTTATTTCCCTTCTGCTATTTTCCTTTTCTTTCCTTCCTTTCATTCTTTCTTTTTTGATTTCTCAAGGTTTCTTTATGCAGCCCTGGCCGACCTAGAATTCTCTGTAGACCAGGCCTGCCTCTGCCTCCCAAGTACAGGGATTAAAAACCTGTGTCATTATGCGTTGGCTTTATTTCTAAAGCGAGGTGTGTCTTACCTACAATGGAAGACAACAGGTTTTTAAACACACAGCTGCGTGAATTTGGGTAACTCTACTCTCCCAAATGTAGCCGTAGCCCCATCTAGAAAATTGGTGTAATAGAAAAGTTGCAGGTTAGTCCCTCAAAAGCTGTCAATTTGTTCTGGATCCCTTGACTCTTAAATGGGTAATTAATGCTTATAGATATTTAAAACCTGAAGCCTTTGCCACCTCGATCTCAGGACAAAGAGCTACAGTTACTTTTCCGTGTTTAGCGTTAACTTTTCCAGTTACATCAGCACTTAGGTGCAGAGTCATGCCTTGAGGCAACTACATGTTTGGGTTGGGCTTATGAGCCCTTTGTTTGGAAATTATACACTCAGTGGTGCATTCTGGAATATTTTCAAGCTAAGGCAGTACAGGAACCAGATCTCCGTGGACAGTTCTTGGAGGTCTGTACTTCGTGTGTCATGCGAAAAAAGGAGAAAAAGAGGAATGACTGAGAATTTCTATGGCTAAACCTTGCTAAAAACAGAAATCGTCTATATGGGCTAAGACAATGAGCGCCACACCAGTTGGGCTAAAGTAATGATAATGACATTCATTGCATTATGCTTTTGCATGTTGGAAGTAGTTTCATTTGTTCAATACACTCACAGATCTCAACCATGACTGTCTATGAGGATCACTAAAAAGATCTTAAACACTGGCATGGATGCCCCGGCTCCAGCCCTAGTATTTCTAGCTCATCTGTCTTGGAATGCAGCCTTCCCTGAGACTTACAAAAAACAAAAACAGAAACAAAACTCCATGGTTTTTTTGTTTGTTTGTTTGTTTTTGTTTTTGTTTTTCAAGACAGGGTTTCTCTGTGGCTTTGGAGGCTGTCCTGGAACTAGCTCTTGTAGGCCAGGCTGGCCTCGAACTCACAGAGATCCGCCTGCCCCTGCCTCCCAAGTGCTGGGATTAAAGGCGTGCGCCACCAACGCTCGGCTCAAAACTCCATGTATTGTGCAGTCCCTTTTATAGGATATCCAGAGTAGATAAATCTGGAAGAGCAAAGTGCAGATTTAGGTTAAGGAGAGGGAAAAAAGGGAAGGTGAGATACTTAATAGGCACAAGGTTTTATTCTGAAGTAACTGAGAAGTTTGGTAACTATACAAAAGAACAGGTTCAGTATCCCCAGTTTGCTAACCCCAAACCCCAAATCCTCCAGAAACAGAAAACCCGGAGCAGTGACATGACAACGCACGTGGAAACCCACGCCTCTACTGTAGCAGACTAAGTGTGAGCACATCACGTGCTTCTCAATAAGTTAGAGGAGGTTTAAAAAACAAATACATCTGACCCATCCCCAGATGTCTGTATGGGACAAAAATCCAAAATTTTAACTACTTTTAGCTCCAGGCATTTCGTGTAAAGAACACTCTGCCTGTAGCAGTTGCAAAACATGAATGCATTGGATGCAACTGGATTGCTTTCTTTACACAGGTTAATTTTATTTTAATATCATCTCAATAAAAAATTTGAATGAGACACAGTTCCTTTAAAAAAAATGAAGAAAGTACAAAACCTACAGGGAGTAAGTAGTATATGGAGATTGACCTTGGACTTTTAATTCCAAACATACTTAGATCAACCCTTAAAAGTCAGGAACATAGTGGGTCATGGTGGCTCACAACCTTTAATCTTAGCACTTGAGGCAGAGGCAGGTGAATCTCTTCTTGTGAATTTGAGGCCAGCCTGATCTGCATACTGAGTTCCAGGACAACCAAAACTGCATAGTGAGACCCTGTATCAAAAAATAAGTACATAAATAAAAATTACATTAAAAGTCAGGCCATGAATTCGTAGAAGTCAGTGAATTTGGTAGGTTTAAGACATCTGTTTTGAGAGCTGTTGAAGTAAACTTTTGTGTTCACGTCTTTGACTTCCAATTTAAGAGAACCAAGTTACTCTGAATTGCTTAGGGAGATAAAAACAGTAAGGATGCTACTTAGTCACGTAGTATGTATAATGTTTTCTTTTTTCAAGCCAGTTATATGTAGAATATTTAAAAACTACTGTCTTCTATGATATAAACTATGAAGGGTTCAAGCCGTGTGAAGAATTGGCTTTAACTGAAATAGACTCTGGACAGCTAAGTGTCATGACTAAGGTGTTTCTGCACAGTGAGCTAGTTGTTACTTTTTGTCCCATGAAATAAGTAAAAATGTGGGGAAATACACTGATACACATTTATAGAGAAAATTTATTAGAAACCCAAAAGGTCAGAACACAGACAATGGTTGCATTAGTGCTGACAACCATTGCAGTGATTTCATTAAATATAACATTTGTGAGGAAGTTACAATGCCAGACTCATAACACCTAACAGCTGGCATAAGAATGTTCTAATTCTTGACATTTAGAATGAATAATAACATGTGATTTTTCATGTTAAAAAAAAACATGGAGCTGGAGACATGATGGCTTGCTGGATAAAGAGTGCTCATTACCTGTATAACAAGCCTGGCAGCGGTCTGTGCACACCCGTAACCCCAGAGCAGTGATGAGCAGATAGCAGGGGTCATTGGGGTTTCCAAGATGCCATCTTAGAAGAGCTAGAGCTTCAGGTTCAGAGAGAGAGAGACCCTGCCTCAAAGGAATAAGGTGAAGACGACACCTGACACCTCCTCCAGCCTTTGTGCGTGCACAGTCAGACTTATACACACACCACCACCACCAGGAATAAGGCTGATACTCTCTTTGCTCATCATTTCCCCCATTCTTCAAAGTATGATGGTAAGGGAGATTTTGTGATAATGGTTCAAGTTTGTCTGTCACTTCTTCTGTGCCAGGCACTTGCCCTCAGCAACCTCTGGAAACAGATGTTGTCATTAGCCCATATATTTTACTTATTTACTATTTTTGTTTGTTTGTTTGTTTGTTTTTTCGAGACTAGGTCTCTCTGTGTAGCCCTGGATGTCCTCTCTAGACCAGGTTGGCTTCGAACTGACGGAGATCTGTCTGTCTCTGCCTTCCAAGTACTGGAATTAAAAGTGTGTGCCAGCACTGCCTGGCTTGTCATTAAACCATGTATTAATTACTCTGCACTGAGACAAAGCGCCCAACAGAAGTGACTTAAGGGAGGCAGGATTTACCTTGGCTCACAACTTGAGAAGGTACAGGCACTGTGGCTGAGTCATGATGGCAGGAGCATGTGGCTAGGACTTTTTGCATCTTGGTGGACCAGATGGCAGAGAAGACTTGAGCCCCATCTAGGGTGGGCTATAGCCCACTTCCTCCAGGTAGAGACCACCTCCTAAAAATTCTACAATGTTCCAAAGAAGCACCACCATATGGGGACCCAAGTGTGCAGACACATGAGCCTCTGGGGTACACACCCACATTCTAACCTGAATGCCCGCTTCACAGACAGAGGTTTTGAGACTCAAGAGGTAAAGAAACCTGCACCTGGCTAGACAGCTTTCAGTGGTGAAATCTATCCTAGGAAGTCCAATTGCAGACTCATCACTTAGTTACTATGCATATGAAATGTGTGGTAGTTAGAGATGTGCTGTGTATATTCAAGAGGAGCCTGTGCAGCTGGTTTGAGGTGCTCCTCATTTGAAACTAGGGGGTATTCCATTTCTAGACCCCTTTTTGGATCACCCTGCAATTGAAATGAAGTCAGTTTGTTATTGAAGTCAGTTTTTCCATCTTTGTGGAAACAAACCCACATATGAACGCACAACAGATATGTCTAAGCTATACTATTCATGGGGAGATAGTGGTTTGGGTGTTTTGTGGTTTTGTTTGGTTTGGTTTGGTGGTGTTATTGGTGTTTTAAGTGCTCGTATTTAGCCATTAGTCAGATCCCAGTACAAATCCTATGGACATTCCAATTCCAAGGGCATCTGTTTCACAACTGTAGACTATGAGCCATGGTGTGAACCTTGAAGGTTGCTAGGAGGAATAGATGAGTTCCCTTACATAAAATGGCAGGAGTTGATTCCCGCCCAATACCTGCTCCTTCCTTCCCTACTTCATCTTAGCTCACCCACTAGAACTCTGAATATAGAATGAGGTGGGTTTCTATGTCTTGTAACTCCTTCACACAGCTTACTGAGGTAAACAGAAAATTAATCAAAGGTGGTGAATTTTCAGTGCTCTGACCTGGGTGGATAGAAGTTGAAGTAGAGGGAATGGCCCTGCTAGGAATGGGAGCAAAGAAAAGCCTCTCTGCCTTGCTTCTGAACACACTCTTGGTATTTCTACAAACAGTAAGACAGTCCACAAAACTAACTAACCAACCTTTAGTTTGTTCACATTTAACATTGCTGACATTGGAGACAAGTAACAAAGTCCTCAGCTACATTCACATGTGTATTTTGGTTAGATCCATAATGGGAAAAGTGTGTGTGTGTGTGTGTGTGTGTGTGTGTGTGTGTGTGTGTGTGTGTGTGTAAATAGAAATACAATTCTAGGTTGTAACATATATATATATATGTGTGTGTATTTATGTATAGTATATAGTAGTCCCTCCTAATCTGGTTTATGTATAGTTTTCACTTCTCCTGATTTTAATTATCTAGAATCTCCAAGGTCTGAAAACATTAATTAGGAAGTTCCAGAAAGAAAGCTTTAATAGCAAATAAATGAATTAATGATTATTAATTATTGAATAATATTTATATTTTGTATATTGCTTTAATTGCTCTGTTTCATTGCTACTAATCTTGCTAGTCTCTTACTGTGTCAAATTTATGAGTTGAATTTTTATCACAGATACATATATGTTGGTAAAAGCATATTATCTTTGGCCTTCACTGGCAGTGGCTTCAGGTAATCACTAGGGGTAACCCTACATGTTGAGTCATAGAGAGAGCTGTGATTTCTCAGGGTTAGATGCAGTGGCCATCACCAAGATGCCTTGATGTATCCTTGGTACAGGACACTTTTTTAACAAGATTGAAAAGGGGGAGACAGGAGTTTGGGGTGTGGAGAGCACTCTAGAGAGGAGGCCTCACTGCATTAGAGAAGGCTGAAGTATCACTCCCTAAAGTGGTCTGCACTAGTGAACACTCATCATCTACTAGGCTCTAGCTTTTATTCTGCCCTCCTCTCTCTTCTTGATATATTTCTTCTTATTTATTTCAAAACAGGGGTTCACTATGTGCTCTAGGTTGGCCTGCAATTCAGTCCTCAGTCTCTCAGGTACACAGAGCCATACCTGACTTATAAATGTGTTAATCTATAATATATAAGTCAAACATTTAGAACTGTATTCTTTGGGCCAAGTGTGGTGGCCCACATCTTTTAAACCTAACATAAGGGAGGCAGAGGTAGGCAGATTTCTGTAAGTTTGAGGCCAGCATGGTCTACATAGTAAGTTCCATGCGGGTTATTATAAAGTTATCTTTTTGTTGTCAAAATTCAGGTCAAGTTTTTCCACCCTTCCCCAGCCCTGTATTTTTAAGCAATATTGTTAAAACTGGAGAGACTCTCATAAAACATAGCAAGCAGTCAGAGACACTAGACCATGAAGTGCTCCCTTTATGCTTGTAGTGGTTTGAATGAGAGTAGCCCTCATAAGCTCATTTGTTTAAATCCTTGGTCCTTGGTGGAACTGTTTGGAAAGGACTAGAAGGTATGACCTTGTTGGAGGAGGTGTATCACTGCCAGCAAGTTTTGAGGCTCTCAAAGCCAAGTGTGCCCCCTCTGCCTGCTGCTTGCAGATAGAGGCTCTCAGCTGTTCCTGCCTCCAAGCCTTTGCTTCCCAATCACAGCCTGAAACAATTAAGACCCAAATGAAACGCTTTCTTTTATCAGTTGACTTGGTCATGCCATATTGTCACATCAGTAGAAACGTAACTAATACAATGTTATTTCTGTTTCTGACAATAGAGGTCTTGAAAATGGAGGCTGTGGCCAACACGTGCCCTCTACGTGGATTCATGAACTGTGATGCACAGTCAAAATAGGAAGACAAGATTTCCTACAGTAGCAAATCTTCTACTTTCCATGACCAGCGGTTGTGAAGAACAGGGTGCAGTGACTGATGGACTGATTCCACCTGGCTTTTCCCTCTCTTGCAGCACAGGTGTGCACTGGGATCATGGCAATGTTGATCATATACGACTACTGGTTCCTTTACATCCCATATCTGACCTGGTTCTACTTTGACTGGCAAACCCCAGAGCAAGGAGGCAGGAGTGTCAACTGGGTCAAAAACTTGACTGTGTGGAGGCATTTTAAGGACTATTTCCCAATTCATGTGAGTAGAACTCTCCTCTAAAGTATTACTGTGAGTTGGGAGGGCAGTGGGGGTGTGATTTCATCCTGTGTGCCTCCACTGCTTCCCAGACAGGGTGTGCCTCAATCCATTTTATGTTCTCATAACGAATACCTGAGCTTCGGATTCATATAAAGGAAATTTATTTCTCACAGTTCTAAATCCGGGGGGGGGGCAATATTATGGTTCCAATATTCAACTACTTTCAGGTCCCATGATCTCATGGCAGATACAAAAGGCAGAGTAAGAGGAGACTAGCTTGTCCTTTTAGGAAGAAGTCATCCACACCAGCAGTGAGGATGTTAGTCTCTCTGCTCTCTTCTGCTCTCATGAGCCCTCAAATCTTACACTGTTGCACGGGAGATTAAATTATCCTTGGTTTTTTTTTTCTGGTTTTACGAGACAAGGTTTCTCTGTATTGTTTTGGAGGCTGTCGGTCCAGCCTGGCCTCGAACTCACAGAGATCCGCCTGCCTCTGCCTCCTGAGTGCTGGGATTAAAGGCATGCGCCACCACCGCCCGGCTAAATTATCCTTGTTTTGTGGTGATTGACAGGCAGATTCAGATCATCCCAGAGAAAGCTTGCACATTGGTCCTAGTGAATAAATGAGTCTTAAGCCAGGTTGACAAAGTCTGGGAGGCTGTGTATGGGACCTGGGTTCCATAGACAGTTTAGAAATGTCAAAATATCTCTAACCCAGGAAAGTAGGATGAATTGTTTTCTCGTTTCTCACTGACATAAGGGGTAGAGGGGAACCCTTCCACTTCCTACTAATGAGGGCCGTTCTGTTTCCTTATCTCAATGTAAATGTGCTGTAGCTCATCAAAACCCAGGAGCTGGATCCAGGGCACAATTATATATTCGGGTTTCACCCTCATGGAATATTTGTGCCTGGAGCCTTTGGAAATTTTTGCGTAAATTACTCAGACTTCAAGAAGCTGTTTCCCGGTTTTACGGTATATCTTCATGTGGTCTCGTGCTGGTTCCGATGCCCACTCTTCCGAGAATATGTAATGAGCTTGGGTAAGTGATGCAGCCACTGTTCCCTCAGCATTCAGTGACATAGACACTGTTCCCACAATTCATCTGCTGTTGCCACAGACAGCATTCAGTGACATAGCCACTGGTCCCATAGCATTCAGTGACAAAACCACAGGCCCCACAGCATTTGGTGACAAAGACACTGGTCCCACAGCATTCAGTGACATAGCCATTGTTCTCAGTGATACAGCCACTGTTCCTACAGCGCTCTGGGGTGACAGCAGCACATACAGCACCCACTTGATTTTCTGCTTCCTGTATTCTGTGGTGTTCTCACACTCACTCCTGCCTTCTCTTCTTATGTCCATCACAGGTGTTTCATTTTGTGATAGCAACATAGGAATTTTCAACAAACATTAATCCAGTGGACCAATAAATCGGTGAATGTAGTTAATATATTCAAGTGTGGAAAAATAGTCCTGGATCAAACTTAAGTGAAAATCATATTTTGGAGAGGCACTTTGCGTACTCTTATGGATGTTAGAACTGGGAAATGTCCTCTATTGTGTCTTGCAGTATCAATAGTGACATAAACTACTCAGTGTTCTGACTTTGACACCCAAGGTTATGTGTACCTCCTGGAGCTGTGGATTTTATCAGTGGTACTGTGTTTGTCTAGCATGAGCATGGCCTGGTTCTACCCCCAGATCTGTAATGAAAGAAAAGAAAGGAGAGAGGAGGGAAGGGAAGAAGGGATGGGAGAAGAGGGGAGGAAAGGGAGAGGAGGGGAGGGAAGGGAAGAGAGAAATAAAAGTCACCCCTCAGCCAGGCGTTGGTGGCACACGCCTTTAATCCCAGCACTCGGGAGGCAGAGGCAGGCGGATCTCTGTGAGTTCAAGGCCAGCCTGGTCTACAAAGTGAGTTCCAGGACAGCCTCCAAAACAATACAGAGAAACCCTGTCTCGAAAAAACAAAAAACAAACAAAAAAAAAGTCACCCCTCGACAGCTTGGTCTACAGAGTGAGTTCCAGGACAGCCAGTGCTGCACAGACATACCCTGTTTCAAAAAAAAAAAAAAGAAATGATAGAAGGAAGGAAGGAAGGAAGGAACAAAGGAAGGAAGAAAAGAAAAAGGCAAAAAAAGTAATCCCTCTGCAATTCTGCTACTAGATTTGGTTTGATTTTGGTGTGGTTTGCTTTTGTTGAGACAGACCTCACTCTATAGGCCAGGCAGGCCTTCTGGTCCTGAATTCCTGACAATGCTGCTGCTAACCCTCAAATTCCGAGATTGTAGGTGTGTGCACTGTGCCTGTGAGTGGATGGAATACTCTTTAATCACTGATTCTGAGAGCAGATCCAGCCCGAAATGCTTCAGAGATGCGATGTAAACATATATGGAAGCCTAGGCTCATGCCAACAGCCTTCATTCAACTCAAGAGACTCTAGTTGCCTTTCCAGCTTGATTGGCTTTTAGACTGTGCACTTCAGTAGCTTACAGAATAGTTTACAGTTATCAAGATTATGTAGGGTGGTTATAATTACCTTTGCAGCTTCTGAGTATAAAGATAGCCTTTTTAGAAAAAGTATAACTTCGGTATCAGTGACCTAGTTAGGGAAAGATTTTCCATTGCCTTTCAGGTTGTCATGGCTTCCTATAAGTCACTTCCATCGTTATGTATCTGTTTGGAAATCATTACAATACAGAGCACTAGGATCTGCGCTGGCTTTGCAGGGAGTCTGCCTATTTGTGGACTCAAATACAGAACTCAGTTCACTGACTGAGTGCTGCAGGCCACACTAGAGGGCGCCCTACCCACCAAACTACTGCATGATCTACTCTATAACCTCTAGAGGGCACACTAGCACCGCAAGCAACCAAAGAAAATGATTTTTTTCTTCTTATGTGGTAGACATTGGGTTAGTTTTATAAAAGGAACAAAATTAAAGATAAAATTTTAATTTCCAAAAAGTCACAGAAATAGATTTTAAATTTACTTTTTGCTGATTCAAAGCATAATCACTAGTAAATTTGGGTACTTGAGAACAGGTGTGACAGAGACAGCAGGCACTCGGCTCTCCATGACCACATCAGACACAGTCTCAGAGTCTTTCTTAATATGGTGATCACAGTCATTCCTGTTTGCTAGAGTTAGTACTGAGATTAAATCTGTGCGCTGTGTGCCATCATTGTCGCATTTACTCATCTTTTGAGACTGGGTCTCTCTGTAGCCATGGCTGTCCTAGTACTTGCTGTGTAGACCAGGCTGGCCTTGAACTCACTGAGAGCCACCTGCCTAGGTGTGTGCCACCACACTCACCATTATTAGTTTATAGTATCACAAAATGGTCCCTTTTGCTGCAGCCTTCATGTCTTAAAAGCTAAATAAGAATACCCCAATCTGTAGCTAATGATGAATTAGGCTGTTAATGTGAATACATTCTCAGCAGTATTTCCCAGTTCTGGATCCTGAGAACAGTGTGTGGTCCAAGGCTTCCTCCAGTGACTTACCTCCCACACATGAAGTTTCTATGGCTACAGATTCTCTTAAGCCCTAAGTACAACCCATTTCTCTTGGCCCATTTTGGAGGGTAGACAACCACTAGATGACAGCACAACTGTATGTGTTTCAAGGCTTATATTCTATCTGGATGCCTACTAAGCTGGAGCAGGTAGCAGGGAGTTCATCACCACAGCCTTTTACCTGGTGCAGAGGACCGTCATGACCCAGCTTTGTGGGGCTTCAGTCAGATCCATCTGACTTGCCTGGCTCATAACTGAGAGGGGGAGTGTGGATTGAGAAACGGCAGGTTAAGATGCTTAAGAAAAAGAGACACGGGATAGAGTCGGGAGGGCAGTCAAGTGAATACTGGATGCCCCAGGTATATTCTTAAACATTCTTAAGTACCCAGACCAAAAGGGGGACATGGAAAAGGCCTTTATCATGTATAAGGAACAAACCGACTTTCTTTCCTTAATCCTCCAAACACCTTAGACTCAGTTTCCCATTATCCAGCCTTGAGGGTCAGGAGTAACCACATCTCAGACCAAGTCTGTTTTATTTAGATAAGACACCCTCTAAAACATCCTACAGTAGCATGTCCTAGGTTTTATGACTTACTAAGGACAGTTTTGAACTCTCTGACCTTGAGTCAAGAGGAACTGGAGCCACCTTTATGGGTTCTGACAATTTCCCCTTCTACATTTAATTAATTAATACCTGTGCTTCTGCTACAGGACAGATGACTGTGTCTGTCTTAGGTTGACTTCTTTCAACTTCCAGCCTTACCAGTCATTGGAACACACATTCTGTCATGTGTGACCTTCCTTAGGTTGCCTGGAGACAAAAAGCTCTTACCTGTCTTTGACTACTGGTCTCTGTATAAAAAGTTTAGGGGATAGTGCATAGCTTGATGCCATGCACCTCTGAGCCAACTTTTCACTGAGAGTTCACAAGCAAGCTTGATCATGCTAAGCAATGCGTATGCTTTTGTGGCTACATCTCCTATTAAAGGAATAAAGGATAATCAAAATGAAATGGCCTTTTAAAATTGGTTTAGGATGTCTCCAGTAGTTTTAGCTGTATCAAGATCTAAATCTGCCTTCTTAATTAGATTGTATCTAAAGATTCGTAAGTATCATGTCAACTTCCTATCAGAATGAGCTCTGACTTTTTTCATTCATTAACACTTATATAGCATAGCATAGGTTGTAAAATTAATAATTCCAGTATGGTTAACAATAGACACATAATTGACTGGATTACAATTCTCATAATTTCAATTCAATCAAAGGACAATAACGTGTTCTCATGGTGGGTGCAGTATGAATAACTCCACAATTCTGAACCTTTTCTTTTTCTCCTATCTCAAAGTCCAATGCACTGCTGTCCTAACTTCCAAAGATTGAAATACCACAGTCCTTGAGTACTGAATACTAACTGCAAAACTTTTGTCCATCTCCTCCTCACATCAGCCCCCTCACAATGAAGAGGGGCTTTAGCCACACATCATTTCCATGGTAGTGTTCAGCTGTCCTAATGAGTCCTTTTCCCCCAGAGGGGAAGTCTCTGAGGCAACAGCAGAAATGAGTTTCGACTGGAAAAAAAATTAGCTCTATGTCACAAGATACAGTATGGATAAACCACTAGACATTCCGTCCTTGGCTGGATCCAGGATAAAAACTCACAGAGGTCTGGGAAGTTGATGCAGCAGGTTTGTTGAGAAACTGGAAACCTCCAACCATAGTGTCCTTCCGTTCTCAGACTGTACAATGATGACATCAGAGGGTCAGGAACACAGCTTCAGCATTCGTTCGAATTCATTGGGGGGGAGGGTCCCAGCAGTATCATCAGGCCTCTCGTTCCTCTGCTCCACCCACCTTACCAGATGTAAGAAAACATACACATCCTGCAAGAAAACATACACATGCCCTCGACCCCATATTTATTAAAACAGGATCCGGTCTTTTCTGTAATCCAGTACAAGGATCTTTCCATTTGGCTTGAGCAAAAGTTGTTGGAGTTCCATCATGCCAGAATCTATCCACAGCAGATTGCTCATGGGCATCCACATTCAGAAAATTTAAAATGAAGAGTGCATGATTTAAATGCATTATGTGGACACTGGGGGTACAACTCCCCTTTACTTATTTTTTTGAAGTTGTGTTTTCAAGGTGCTATGGGCATGCTCCACAATTCCTTGTCCTTGAGGATTATGAGGAATGTCTGTTACGCTTTGTGTTCAATTTTCCATTGGGAACAAAATTGCTGAAATGCTTTACTAATATATCCAGATCTATTGTCTGTTTTTATAATTTTAGGAATTTCCGTGTAAGCAAAACATTTTAAACAATGACTTATCACATCACATGCTTAGTGGCTTCTTCAGTTTATGCAATGGCCATTAAGAAACCTGAATGTGTATCAACTGCCACGTGCACTTATTTTAATTTGCCAAATTCTGCAATAAGAGTAATAACTATTTGCCATAAATGGTTAGGAAGCAGGCTTCAAGGATTTATTCCTAAATTAATCACAGGTAAATATCGTGGGCACATGGCACATTGTTTGACAATTTGACGAGCAGTTTCTCTTGTTAAACCAAATTGTTTTCTTTGACTTCTGCTATTTTGATGATGAAAGGTGTGTGACTACTGAGCCAGTTCTACCTGGGATAAAGCATCCATTCTTGTTAATCGAGCAGCTGACTCATTCCCTTCAGCCAGTGGGCCAGGAAGGTTTGAATGAGCCCCTGTATGGCCCACAAAGCTTGGCGATTTCCTTTGATGACAGAGGACTTTAGACTTTATTCTGCGAGTAAGCCGCAGGGAATTTGTGAGTAGCTTTGAGAAAAAAGCTATGTTTGTTTTGTGATAGAATGATCTTTCACATAGCAGCGTAGAGGCAGATTAGATGGGTAGAATCTGACAGGCCTACCGATGGTAGAATTCAGGGAGACCCAATGAAGACTAGGCTGGTACGTTGCTGCTGTGGGATAGTCCTGCTGTGAATATATACTGCTCTCATTGGTTGATAATAAAGGCTGCTTTGGCCTATAGAAAGTCAGGACATAATTATGCAGGAAAGCCAAACTGAATACAGAGAAAAAGAAGGGCAGTGTTGAGGGAGACACAAGCCAGCCACCCAAGAAACAAGATGCCAACACACTGGTAAAAGCCACAGCCACCTGGCAATACATAGGTTAATAGAAATGGATTAATTAGAATGTAAGAGCTAGTTAGTAATAAGCCTGAACCATAGGCCAACCAGTTTGTAAATAATATTAAGCCTCTGAGTGATTATTTAGAAGCAGCTGCAGGATGGGGCAGGACAGAAAAATCTCTGTTTACACAGTGCTCTCATGGTAGAAACCCAGAAGGGAACACTGTTTGCTAGTGTTCCAAGACTTCATGTTTGATTCGTCTTCAGGTAGGCAGCAGCCGTATATGTAGTATCACTATTATCAGTATCTGACATTATGAGCAAGTGTTCAATAAAGGGAATTTGCACAACAGACTGATATTTCAACCTGGATGACTGGATGGGTGATGGAATCTTTTGTCTTGATCGTTAATGTTAGCACAGGTACATGCTCTGAGGAATAATTTGATATGTTGGCTTTGGATAGGTGAACTTGAGGTGTCTTTGAGCTGTCAAAGTGGAGATTTCCATTTGACCATTGGCGATGTGGCCCTGGAAGCTGAGGAATATATTCCATGAGATGGGTTTCATAGAATTCAGGTCACATAAGTGGTGGTTGAGTTCATGGATGTAGATGAGGTTCGAAGACAATCAAAGTAATGAAAGATCTCTCAGAAATAGCAGCTTGCGCAGTAGGTTGGAAATGGAGCCTAGAGGGGCACAAGAAGTAGCCAGAGGAGAACTAGAAGGGTCATGTGTCAAGACCCAGGGGGCTGTCTTTGCAAGAAAAGAGATGCCTCATTTCTCACTCCGGTTACTCTGAGCTAAATGACATGTCTTGAACTCAGGGAAAGTTCAGAGACATCCACACAAGGTCATATATATTCTCTCGTCCTCTCACCCATCAGGGCCTGCCTTTTCTCTCAAGGGCCAGTCAAAGCCAGATGTGACATGTAACCCCAACACATTGGAGACTGAGGTAGGATGATTGCCATGAGTTTGATTTAAGCTTAGGCTAATGAGTTGAGAGCCAGCAAGTCTAGTGCGACCCTGTAGAGAGAAAGAGAGACAGAAACAGAGAAAATGAGTCATTCAAAACCTTATATTTCTCTAATAGCAGGAATCATAACAAAATCATCACATTGCTGTAGAATATTATTTTCAAAAAATAATTCTTCAGAAGAAATGGCTAGTTATACTTTCTATTTGTTTGACTAAGGGACGGTTTCTGTTTCTAAGAAGAGCATATCTCATGTGTTGAGCAAGGACGGAGGTGGGAACATTTCTGTCATTGTCCTTGGGGGTTCAAAGGAGTCACTGGAGGCCCATCCAGGAATCTATAACCTATGTATCCGCCACCGCAAAGGATTTGTTAAGATTGCCTTGACCAATGGGTAAGTGGCTTTTTTTTCCAGTTTTGTTGGAGACAGGGTCTTGTTCTGTAGCTTATACTGGCCTGGAACTCACCATGTAGCTCAGGCTGGTCTCCAACTTGTGATGATCCTACTGCTAAGCATGCCAAGTCCTGGGATTACAGGTATGAACCACCCTGCTTGGCCTAGTTAAGTGGCTATTTGTTTAGGGTAAGTATGTTTTAAAAGTATAAGACATTAAATGTGCACAAAGAATAATAATAACTGTTCCAGCCCTTAAAGAGCATTCTCCAAGTCAATGTTCCAATAAAGACAGGTGTACGGCTTCTTGAGAATGAAGGAGACGCTTTCTGCCAAGGCAGCTGGAATGGCCCAGCATGCAGCAGTTAAAACAACAACAACAACAGGATACATAAAATTGTACACACCCATTGTAAACTTACAACAAAATGAATAGAAGCCAATGAAAAGAAAAGCTTACCCCAAACTTGACTTTCTACAGAATAGAATTCTAGCCATGGCTACCTTGCTGAAGCACTTCCTAAAGATTTCAATACAGCTTGAAGTGTTTGGAAGTTTTGCAGCTTCTGGTTTTTTTTGTTTGTTTGTTTTGTTTTTGTTTTTTTGTTTTTTGTTTTTGTTTTTTCGAGACAGGGTTTCTCTGTGGCTTTGGATGCTGTCCTGGAACTCACTTTGTAGACCAGGCTGGCCTCGAACTCACAGAGATCCGCTTGCTTCTGCCTCCCGAGTGCTGGGATTAAAGGCGTGCGCCACCAACGCCCGGCATTTTTGCAGCTTCTGTGTTTCAAATGTGGATAGAATACAGCATGGGAAGGGTTGGATACTGTAGTAGTTACTTTTCCCATTGCTGAAAAAATGCCTGATTAAAGCAGTTTGAAGGGGGCTGGAGAGATGGCTCAGCAGTTATGAGCACTGGCTGCTCTTCCAGAGACTCAAGTTCAATTCCCAACACTCACATGGCAGCTGGATCTGGATCTCCTGCCAGGGTTTCTGACAACCTCACACAGACATACATGCAGGCAAAATACCAATGGACATAAAAGAAAATCAATCTAAAGCAGTTGGAGGAAGGGAGGGTTTGTTTGGGCTCCCGGTCTCAGAGGATACAGTCCATCTTTGTAGGGAAGGCATTTGGGGAACAGGAAGCTGCTGGTCATGCTGCACTCACAGCCTACAGGCAGAAAGCAATGAACTCAGCCCACTTTCTCAACTCATTTTCTCCTTTCTCCCTCTTTATTCAATACAGGATCCCAGCCCAGGAGATGTGACCACTTATACTCAGAGTTTATCTTCCCCTCTTCATTTAAAATGTCTCCAGAAATACCTTTACAGACACACCCAGAGATGTGTCTCCTGGGGGGGGGGGTCCAAATCCAGCCGAGTTGACTATGAAGATTCAATGTCACGGGCACATTTACAATTTGGAAGGTTTTCTTGAAAGTAAATTATTTAAATTAGTATCCTTGAGGCCGGAGAGATTCAATGGCTCAACTATTACACAGTGCAATTATGAAGAGTGGAGTTTTGACCTCAGTACTCACAACTCAGGCATCCTGCAAACACACATGGCCCCAGCTCTGAGGGAGAGATACTTTCTGTCAGCCTTTAAGCATGTACATGTGTGTGCACCTGCAGACACATTTGTGCATGTACTTAAACAACTGAAAAGATATTTGGCTTCAATTTGTAAAATCTGTGTCCTTCCTTTCTGTTAACTTCAGAGCCAGTTTGGTCCCAGTGTTTTCTTTTGGTGAAAATGAGCTTTATAACCAAGTTAGCAACCCTGAAGGTTCGTGGCTTCGAACTGCACAAAACAGACTGCTGGAGTTAACGGGGCTTGCCTTGCCACTGATCTATGCCCGAGGTATAATGCCCTATCGGAAGCCAATCTACACTGTTGGTATGTACATCAAATAAATACAACAATCTTACCCCGTACAGTGTTTACTGTTATTGTCTAGGTGCTAATCATTCAAAAGAAGTAGCCTTGAGTTTGGGCTTCCTAATGTCTTAGACCAGTGGTTCTCAACTATGTTAGTGCTTCAACCCTTTAATACAGTTCATGTTGTAATGATCCCTAACAATGAGATTATTTTCTTTGCTACTTCATAACTAATTTTGCTACTGTTATGAACCGTAATGCAAATATCTGTGTTTTCCCATGACCTTGGGTGACCCCTGTGAAAAGGTCATTTGACTCCAGAAAGGGGTCACACACGACCCATGGGTTGAGAACCACTCTTGGACCTTAACTGAACTTTAACAATGCTAAGCACATCTAACGAACTATCTCTATTTCCCATAAGTGTGAGAGTTGGTTACCTTGTGTAATTCCACTGTTGAAGTAGAGTCCAAGTTTAGACATGAAATCTCTAGTGCTCCTAAGTGGACATGTTTCTCTGATCTTTCCTATAGCACAATAGTTGACTGATAGGCAAACCACCTCAGAGGCTAACAGTCACACATACCCCGCCATCAGTTTCTTACTAAAAGCATGCTTTGTGCTGCTACCTATGTTTATATATGCTCTGTATCAAATTTATAAAAGGTGCATGTTTGAATGACTAGAGATGGGGAGAAGAAATGGGAAAGTAGGGTGTAGAGCCCGGCTGGTGCGGTTTGCGTAATGTCACCTGCTTAGGATATTGAGGCAGGAGGGACCCAGGGTCAAGGCCAGCCTGAGCAACACCCAAAGCTGACTCAAAAGTAAACAAATAAATAAGCGGCAGAAGTGAAATAATTTCCTTCTGAGGCTTGGAAGAGATGGGGAAGTTGAAAATGAGAAAGTCCTGAACCATGAAGAGTTACCCATAGCTTTGCATTTTATATGAAATGGAAATAATATTTTTGCCACAATAACAAGTAACTAAAGTCTGAATACAGTGACTTTTTTAAAGATTAGTTTCCCTAGAAGATGATTTCCTTCATTCCTTCTTCTCCTCTTTCCCCTACCCCCTTTCTTTTTCATAACAGAGTCTCATGTAGCCCAGGCTAGCCTGAAACTCACTATGTAGCCATGTGAGCTTTAACTTCTAATCCTCCTGCCTCCACAGAAACCCTTTCTGCTAAGAGTATACACATAGCATTTTCTGCTGTCACTTTATATGAGCTTTGCAATTCAGATGCAGCCACATGGAGCTATTTTTAGCTGCCATATTTAACTCAGATGGAATGTAGCAGCTTGTTGGCTAGTTACTAGGGGAACACAGAGATGCTTTTCAGAGTACAACTGTACTTTCATGGTCAACGGGCTCATTTCTTTGGCATCATATCAGTTAATCACTTTTGTTCCCTTATGTTATGCTGTTTATTTGAGGGAGAGATACAAGTTATGAGTTGGGGAATAAGTTTAATTAGATGTAGTGCATATGCTCACATAAAATTGTGAATACTGAAAATAAAGGACATTCTATTGAGTTAAAAGATTGTTGTTATTATCTCATTGCATTAACTTTGTCTTTTAAGTTGAGTGGCTTTGGTATCTGATATAGTAAGATTGGCCTTTCCTGACAAAACCAGAGTCAAATGTGAGCTAGCTGTCAAGATGTTTTTACTCATGCTGTGCATGGCGCTTCTTTGGGAGGCTTGGAATGAGGGGACATTCCTTGGCTCATCCCTCTGCTTACTCCCGTGGTTCTGAGTTCACGGTATCTCCAGAAGCCTGTTTTTTGTTTTTTGAAACCTTTAAATGATAGGAACATTTCATAACGGCCCGATTATCATAACCTTCCAACAACAGAGAAGGGGGTCAAAGGTTCCAAACAGCTTGACTTGTGGGAACCGGAATAAGCATGGACCTCTAATCCCAATTCATAGGTAGCTGAGGCAGGAAGATCACAAGTTCAAAGCTGGCCTGGGCTGCAGAGTGAGTTCAAGGCTAGCCTGGACATAGCTCCATGGTTAGTTAGATTCTATATGGCTTAGAGGCCTCACCTAGCATGTGAAAGACGGATTCAGTTCCCAGTACTGCAAGAAGGAAAGACAAGAAAGAAGGAGGGAAGGAAGAAAAAAGAAATAGGAGAAAGAGAGAGAGGGAGGGAGGGAGGGAGGGAGGGAGGGAGGGAGGGAGGGAGGGAAAGAGGGACTGGTTGGTTCTTGGTAGGCATGGCATAATGAATCATGGCTCACACAGCCCCGGCTGTACACAGATTGATATTGATAAAGAATCCTCGTCATGCATCTTGCAGATGGGCTGAAGGAGTGGCGAGGTTTGAAGTCTGTCTCTGAGTTACTATGAGTGTTTCTTTCTCTCACAGCTTAGGTTTTCCAATTCTAAGAGAGAAGGTACTTGTAACTGGCCAATCTTCTCTTGGGCTTCTCCAGGGATCACGTTTCACGGTGTAAGCAAAACTGTGCCACCCCAGTGCTGGGAGGGGGTGCACATGCAGACTGCACTCAGAGCCATCCTGACCAGTTTGCTGAGAGCTTTGGGTGTATTGAGCTTTCCTTGAGCAGGGATTCCTGCCAAAGTGTTAACCTGAATCAAAATGTGAGGAAATAGACAAATGGTTCATTTAAAAAAAAAAAAAACACTCCTCAGTTTCTGGAATAACAGAGAGGAAGAGACATTCAGAAATACACAGCTGTCCTGAGTTGGAGAAACAGATGCAAGCATGGCTAATGAAGCCGTTGGCAGAGCTTGAATGTAGCTTATGTGTAAAATGTCGCATGTTGGTACGTCTCTGTGGGTGTGACCGTGGCAATGTGTAGGATACTGTTCTCATTCTTAGAGAATAAAATAGTCAGGATGACTCAAGTGACTGAGTTAGTGTCATCCATGCCCTACTTTCAGATGCTGAAAGAAAGCAGGCCTGGCATGGTGCTACGTATCTGCAGTCCCAGCATTTGGGAGGCAGAAGCAGGAAGACTGTTTCACCTTTAAGGCTAGCCAGGGCCACATACAAGACCCTGCCTCAAAACCAGACAAATGAACAAACAAAAGCCCTAATAAGGGACGAGGTGGGTGGGTAACTTGATCGGTAGAATGCTTGCCTAGCAAGCACAAAGCTTATGTCTGATTACCAGTATAAAACGGGTAGGGTGAGCCGGGCGGTGGTGGCGCACGCCTTTAATCCCAGCACTCGGGAGTTCGAGGCCAGCCTGGTCTACAGAGTGAGTTCCAGGACAGCCTCCAAAGCTACAGAGAAACCTTGTCTCGAAAAACCAAAAAAAAAAAAAAACAAAAAAACAAAAAACGGGTAGGGTGGGTGAATACCTGTAATCCCAGCACTTGGAAGCTAGAAGCAAGAGGATCCAAAGTTCAGGGCCATTCTCTGCTTCATAATGAGTTCAAGGCCAGCCTAGGCTAAATGAGATCTTGTCTCAAAAGAAGTCAAAAAGATAATAAGCCCTACGTATGTTGAAGTTATGCATACAAAGCACACTGGAATGATTGAAGGTAGATGAAGTGCTCATGGTATCCTTAATATTTTAAATAAAAAAGATAAGGAAACAGGTTTTATTTTCATTCCAATCCACCATATACTGGTGGGGGAAGCACAGGCTAAAGAATGTCTGAAATTGAAGGAAAGGAAGGGAATGCAATTTGTTTCTTTTGTAAAACAGGAGAGATTAAAAGGGAGAAGTCCTGAGGATGAATGCAGAGGAGGTAAAACTCTGCCTAGCATTTCCAGCAGGGCCCAAGCTCTCTGTGGCGTGAACCAGATCAACAGAGAAAAGTATTCAGACCTCCCATGTGTGAAGGAGCCCCACGGAAGAGAAGAACTCACCAAAGTGGGTAGGGACAGGTAGTGAGTGGATAGGTAGTTATGGAAAAGTAGCTAAAATGTATTAGACAGAGACTAAGGAGAGGAAAGAGGCCCAGCGTTGGCGGTGCACACCTTTATTCCCAGCACTCAGGAAGCAGAGGCAGGCGGATCTCTGTGAGTTCGAGGCCAGCCCGGTCTACAGAGCGAGTTCCAGGACAGGCTCCAAAGCAATACAGAGAAATCAAAAAAAAAAAAAAAAAAAAGACTGGAAAGAGTTTTTGTTACAGGGTCTGCAGGTGGCTCTCTTGGCTACCTTTCCCTGTCTGCTGAAAAGACTGTTTCTTCCTGGTCTAGGAGAACATCACTTTAGCTTCTCTGAGAAAGGAAAGGGAATCCAATAATGCCCTTCTCGCATCGCAGAAGTACCCTCTGCATTGTTTTCAGTGCCTTCAGCTCAAAATAATCCCTGTGCCAAAGTGGCATACCACACTGCTTACTTAGGGCATTTCAGTGCCTAGTACAACATACTGACTGCTCAATGAAGGTTCGTAAGTGACAGCATATGTACCTCCATGCACACAGAGAACACATATGCATGCATGTACATACATTGGCCATTCTTTAGACATCCATCGGAGACTGGATCTGAACTCGGTTCTTCCAGCTCCCAAGCTTCTCCACAACCCCACTTGTTCACATACGCTGGCCTGTCCTTTCGGGGGATCTTTCTACATGAGACCAGACTAGGAGAGTTTTGCCTGATGTGATGGCACAAGTTTTAATCCCAGTGCTTGAGAAGCTGAGGCTGTTTGAGGTCTGCCTAGGCTACTTAGTGAGTTCAAGGCCAGCTTGACTACACAGTGAGACTGACTAAAAGCAAAATAACCCATGCAGGTTCTAAACTCAATGGAATCTTTCTAACTACAGACAAACAGAATAAAGATGTTTTTATTTTGGGAGATCTATTTTCTACTTCCATGAGAAAAAATTTATCGTTTATTTCCAATGCCTCCTGCTGCTTTCTGCACTGGCCCATGAAACTCCTTGTCCTCTATCCTAGGTGCATATTGCACAGCTGTAGCATGGATTTGGAGCAAGATAGGGATCCTTGGTGCTATTGTCCCATGGGCTGGGTTTTTCCTATTCTCTATCCCAGATAAACTTAGCACACCTCATAAAGATGAACAGGGTGGCTGGAGAGATGGCTCAGCGGTTAAGAGCACTAACTGCTCTTCCAGAGGTCCTGAGTTCAATTCCCAACAACAACATGGTGGCTCACAACCATCTACAATTCAATCTGGTCTCTTCTGGCATGTATATGTAATAAATAAATAAATCTTTTTAAAAAAGATGAACAGGACTGCCATGGAAGGACACAGATGAGCAGACAAACTCAAATTATTGCACAAAATTGAAAGCTGCAATATTGGAGCATGGCAGCCACAACGTAATGAAAACTTGGAACACACCAGCTGATCTCATGAAGGCATTTCCTCAACTGAGACTCCTTCCTCTCTAATGACTCTAGCTTGTGTCAACTTGACACACAAAACCAGCCAGCACACCTCCATAGGTTGTTCTAGCATTTGATTTCATGACATCTGACAAACACTCATAAACATTAATGTTTCCAGTATGGGCTCAGTTCAATTTCAAGAAACAAGTGTCAAAATGAAACCATAAAGGAACTTGTTCCCACTGCTACAGTTTTCACTTCATAGCTACTAGATTAACTTCCTTGAATGTTTAGTCTAAGTATGGTCTCGATGATCACATTTTGTGCTTTGTTATCTCTAGATTATCCCTTTTGCCCTCTGATAAGAATGCCAGGCTGTTGTTCATTATTTCTGCTCTGTTGGCTTTTTGAGGGGCTCACCACTCAGCTCCCAGATAGATCCCATTCAGATTCTTATTCTTTCTTGTGAATGCCTGGCCTTAGCTCGGCTTATTTCTAGCCAGCACTCGTTAACTGGAATTACCCATCCACCTTTTGCCTCTGAGCTTTTTCTTTTTCTTCTGTCTGTCTTACATTCGCTCTCACTCCATGGCTGGCTGGCCCCTCATGTCCGCTCTCCCTGTTCTCTTCCTCCTTCTATTATTCTCTTTGCCTACCAGCCCCACCTATCCTTTATTCTGCCTTACTATTGGTTGTTCAGCTCGCTATTAGACCAATCAGGTTTTTGTTGTTGGTGGTGGTTTTTTTGAGACAACCATGGCTGTCCTAGAACTTGATTTGTAGACCAGGCTGGCCTCAAACTCCCAGTCAGTTCTTTTAGACAGGCAAAGTAACACAGTTTCACAGAGTTAAACAAATGCAACATGAAAAAAAAATGCTACACATCTTTGCATCGTTAGACGAATGGTTCACGGCATATCGCATATAATACATCTTAAACTAATATCCCATAACACTAGGCTTAAATATTAACTTCCTGGGGATTAGGGAGCAGGTTTGGAACTTTTGGCATCTCAGGGAAAGACAACTGGGCTATGGGCATCTTACAAGAGGAGGTCTTACGATTAATTCATTAGAAAAGTGTGTATTTGAGTGCCTGGAAGAACCCATTGAAATTTAATGAAACTTAACAATTTGGGAATAGGATTGAATTCAGCCTTGGTGTCTTAGGAAAGAAGCCCTGACTCAGAGGTCACAAGTGTGTGACACTAAGCTGGGAGCAGCTCCCTGGCTGGACAGGCTTAGACAGCAACGGCTCTCCATCAGTCCCCACCGCGTCCTGCCCCCTGACTCTGGCCTCTCTCACTGAGACACCCTCACCAGAAACTAGAGTTTATCGGTCAGTCTGGATACAGGCTTCTCAGTTTCCTTCCCTCCAAGTTCAGAACTGCCAGGAAGGAAGCTTTGAGAACCTCGAGGTGTACTCTCTCATCCCATCCCCAGGAAAATTTAGGCCACAGAGAAAACTAAGGTAGATCCAGGATACCCCAAGGCTGCCCTAGAACCTCTGGTGCCCCCGCCTCTGCCTCCTGAGTGCTAGAACTCCAGGCAGGCACCAGCTCATCTGGGTTATGTCCTTCCCTTCTCTGTGCATCAAGGGACTGAAGTCTACCGTGCAGAAATTTGACTTCCAAAAGACCAAAGAAACTTGTCCATAAGCGTTTGGAGAGTTCGTCTGTTGAAACACTCAGCAGTTTCCAGTGTGGGTGTGTCACTCCTCTCTCTATGTCCCTCAACTCCAATATTCATGCTCTTTATGGCTTGCTGCCTGAGCTCTTCCTTCGCGTTTGTTTAGTTTTTTTCTTAAATACCCAACCTTCTGTTACTGGCACGGTTTCATCCTTGTATGTAACTCAGAGAAAGACAAAGGATGTCCCTCCCGATGTGTACTCCCATTTTTCCCTTACGGTCATGTGCATAGGCCTCACGCCCAAGCTAACGACTTTAGAAGAAGCAGCTTGCAGCAAGGGTTGAAGTTGACCACCCTGCTTATCCGGGCCTTGGAGCAGTAGCAGCATCGAGCCAGCAGATGGCGGAGCGTAAATAGGCGCCAAAGACTTGTTATTTCCGAACTCTCTTTAAAATTCTGAGGTTGCTTATTATATAAACATCTTTTTAAATATGTACAGAAACCTCCAGATTTATTTACAACTAGTCGGCACTTTCATAATTATACAGGTGAAGTAAATGCTTTTTTTGTTTGTGGAACACAGCCCTATCTCTTTCTCCTTTCCCAGAGGGAAATGTTGGTCTTTTCAGATTTTTCTTTGGTGCACTAAAAATACTGGTACACCTAGAAATATAATTTTTTTCATAGATAGGATCACACTTTATTTTGCAACTTTTCTTTGACATTTTAGACATTATGCGTCCCCGTGTTACTTATTTCTTTTTAAAAGATAGCTGCCTAGGATTCCAGTAAATAATGTCGCTCAACTTATGTAACTGGTTTCCTAGTGAGCTGTGGTTGCTTTCAGTTTCTGTGATTATATGACTTTCTGTCCTACAGATGCTTCGCTGTAAAGATATGTGACACTTTCGATTGTTTGGAAAGGTTAAAAAAAAAAAAAAGAAAAGAAAAGAAAGAAATGAGTCAGAATAGAGGGATGCCGCGTGACCCGAGCACTTCAGTCAGTCATAATGAGAACACTGTGGTCTGGCTGTCAGCTGTGCCTACGAGAGAACGAGGGTGACGTGTCACACGGCAACGCCTCCCCCACTCACAGCTGCAGCCTGCGGGTACAGCAGCGCGTTTGACTCAGAAGTCAAACCACAGGAGCCTGACAGCCCAGTGTCGCTGAGAAGGGAGACTCTATTTGCTGTCAAGTGGGATGGTGTGACGAGGCAGGCAGCCAGTGAGCTGAGGAGAGGACTGGAGCCCGCGGGCTGGAGAGATGTGGATTGGCAGCCCAGCCCTCAGACGCCGACACGGCTGTGGCCGAGCAATGGTTGCTCCTCGAGGGTGATGCGTGTTCTGTTTTCCACAGTTGGCCGCCCCATCCCTGTCCAGCGGACTCCACACCCGACCCCAGAGCAGACTGAACAGCTGCATCAGACCTACGTGGAGGAGCTAAGGAAACTATTCGATGAGCACAAAGGGAAGTATGGTATTCCAGAACACCAAACTCTGGTTTTTAAGTGACTCTCCATCTGCAAGGCATAAAGGAAGATGAGAGCACTGTTGAAAAACAAATAAATATTTTAAATAAGTTCACTGTGGGTTTCTTTGTTGGACTGTAGACTCCAATTGCAGCTGAAAGGTATTATTAGTAATGGAGACAGCTGCTGTTATTTTATACTGTAATAAATAAAAATACAACAAATCCCAGTGGTAAAATGCTCACCTTCCATGGGCAAGACCCTGAGTTGGCTCCTTAACACTGCAAAACAAAAATACAGTACATGATCACAGGATAGGGTTGAAGATGATGTCATCTTAAAACCTCCTGAATTTAGGCAGACTGGATCACTCTTCCAGTTCCTAAAAGAGTCAGGATTAATCACATGCTCAGAGCAAAAGCAAAATACCTACTTCAGAGAGCCTCCAGCCCTTGAGCACCACTGTGGCTTGGGGTGGGGTCTTCCCTGGGTGTGGCAGCTGATGATCCACACAGTTGAAGACTTAGAGACCATGTGACTTGCCGTGTGGAAAGCCAAAGAAGCAGGACTCACTCAACTTGAACACATTTGTTACTGACTAATACCAATTTTAATACTAGCTGATGTAGGCCATATCAGTGCTTTTGGCTTGGGTGGGTGTTTTGTTGTTGGTTTTGTTTTTGTTTTGTTTGGGTTTGTTTTTGTTTGTTTTGTTTTTATCAGTGCAGAATTATGCCGTTTTTGAAGCAGGATGAGTCTGACACGAGTCCCACATGGACGAGAGCCTGTGTCATTTCTCTTCATGTATCTGCAATGGAAAAGCAAGCCTGTTTGGAAGATGGCATCCTCCCTGTTTTGGAACATGTCAGAGGGTTGTTGGAGATATGTTACACAATAGAAGAACTTGTCACTTTCTTCCCCTGGTGGCCATTTCACTTAAGACAAGCTCTGAAAGAAAGTGCCCTCTCTTCTGAGTACTACCCAGTTCAGTTGACTAGAGTCGAGTCTTCTTTATTTGCTGGTATCTTCCTGGTACCTAGCACAGCTGGGGGCAATCGGAGGACATAAAATAAGTGCTTGCCCAGTGGTTATAACAAACAACTTTGCTATAATGTGAAGACTTTTCTGAAGCTAGTCCATAGTAATGAAGCCTGTTATAAGCCAAGATCCACATGAAATAGGAAAATTTCCTGTTATCTAATTGGCTTACACCAATAATCAACAATCCTACACATTGTTATAAGCATGTCAGGCTTCTGCCATTTAGTCACTTGGTATTAGGTAAGAAGAATGGAAGTAAAAACAATGTCCTTTCCAAACGCCTCCAGTGCCGAATGTTTACTTCCGTGTCTCCTGCACAGTTGCTACTAGTGAGTAAGTCCATCCAGTCACAGTTCGTTCCTATATTCCTGTATTGTCAGGCTTCGAGTCTTGATCGTTAGCCCTAAAAAGCAATGGAGACTTCTTTTATTTGTTTGTTTATTTATTCATTTATTTATTTTTGGCTTTCTAATAAGAATGCTAGGCTTAAATATTAACTTCCTGGAGATTAGAGGATGGGGTTGGAACTTTCAGCATCTTGGAGAAAGACAAGTGGGCTATGGGTATCTTACAAGAGGAGGTCTTATGATTAATTCATTAGAAAAATGTGTATTTGAGTGCCTGGAAGAACCCATTGAAATTTAATGAAACTTAACAATTTGGGAATAGGATTGAATTCAGCCTTGGTGTCTTAGGAAAGAAGCCCTGACTCAGAGGTCACAAGTGTGTGACACTAAGCTGGGAGCAGCTCCCTGGCTGGACAGGCTTAGACAGCAACGGCTCTCCATCAGTCCCCACCGCGTCCTGCCCCCTGACTCTGGCCTCTCTCACTGAGACACCCTCACCAGAAACTAGAGCTATTTCTATGCGACTACAAGTTTACCGGTCAATCTGGGTACACATTGCAAGCCTGAGACCTTGAACTCTCAGCATCCAGAATGCACATAAAAAGCCAGGCACCATGGTGTGTGCTCAGAATCCCAGCCCTGAGGAGAGAAAGACAAGTGGACCCTGGAGCTGCCAGGCAACCAACCAAGAGATCTCAATTCAGAAAACATGGTGGGCAGCACCCATGGAAGGGCAGCGAAGATTGCCCTCCGGCCTCCATGCACATGCCACACACATACACACGTGTCCCCATGTGCCTGTACACCCATACATACTTCACACACACAAAAAAAAATCATGCCACACAACAGCAAGAGTAAGAAAATATTTCACGCCGGGCGGTGGTGGCGCACGCCTTTATTCCCAGCACTCGGGAGGCAGAGGCAGGCGGATCTCTGTGAGTTCGAGGCCAGGCTGGACCGACAGCCTCCAAAACAATACAGAAAAACCCTGTCTCGAAAAACCAAAAAAAAAAAAAAAAGTATTTCACATAGGAAACCATGATGCTTCCAGTTGTTCCAAATGGGCAATCCATTGCCCCAAAGCTTTGGAATCCATTATTTTGCCAAAGCAGAGACTTTAAGACCCACAAATCCATCCTTTAGAGAAGTCTCTCAAAAGCCGGGGAACATAATTTCTCAGTTTCAAGGAGACCTGAATTTTAATACCACAGTACTGAGGAGGCCAGGATGATTGTCCATCATCAGTTGCATTACCCAATAGGCAATTGAAGCCCAGGCTTGGCAAAGCAGAGTTTGCAAATTGAGGAAAACACTCTCTTGTGCATTCACATAAATTTTGATCTTAAACATGTATACATAAATGACTTGAAACTTGGCATGTGGTAAATGTTATTTTCAGTACGTATGGTAGGCTTATTTCTCAGCTTCTTAGGGTCTCCTGAAGACTTAATCAAGCCATGTCAGTAGTCTTTCAGGTATGTAGAGCATAGCTGTAAATTCCACATAGTCCTACAGATGGCAAATGAAGGTTTTATAAATATGTGTCAAAAGATGGCATGAAGACAGGAACAGTGGCTTATTGCTATAATCCCAGCACAAGGGGACTTCTGTGACACCATTTATTACTTGTTGAAATCCATTGTTAGGAGTGATGAACTTTTATATTTCCTACATTGCATGTGCATCTGGGTGTTTCTAAATATCTCTCTAATGGTAAAAGTTTAACTAAAATTTAACAAAGATTAAATTAAGTTTAATAAATTTGTTTCTATGCCCAAGTGATGATTGTGCTTCTGCCAGTTTTGGGGTTGGTATTATAACTGTTTTTAAGACATGTGTAAAGTGCATTCTTTCCACCAGCCCCAAATGAACACGCAGGACGCTATATTAATTATGAAGCTTCTGACTGCTTGCTATGGTTTCTTAATGGCTAGCTCTGATTTAATTATTAACCCATAATTACTAATATATATTTTTATAAGGTCTTATCTTACTGAGAACATCAGACTTGATCTCTTCCTGGGATCACATGGTGACTCCTTACTCTTGACTACATTTCCCAGAATCTTCCTTGACTCCTAGTTCCACCTATGTTGCTTCCCTACTGGCCAACAGTGCTTTATTTGCATATACACAAAAGGACTTCCCCCATCAGACATTTTTTAATTTTTAATTATGTGTAGATCTTCCTCCCCCCAATTTATTTGATGTATATACATGAGTGCAAGTGCCTGTGAAGTCAAGAAGACCATGTTGGATCCCCCTAGAGCTGAAGTTACAAGTGGTTGGGAGCCACCTCCCAAACTCAGGTCTTCCTGGAGAGCAGCAAGGCTCTTGCATGATGAGTTATCCAGAGGACATTTCAGAAGAGGGGGCAGAAAGACTATAAGAGACAGAGGATCAGGGAGTTCACTATGAGACCAAACCTCCCAAACAGGAGCTGAATGAGGATAATACTAGACATGCTAAAGCCGACAAGAGAAATACCATGAGGCCGCAACCCTACATAAAATGACAGGTAACTAAGGGATGCTAGGAATGGGAGAAATAGTCTTCCCCAGGGAAGAGCACACCAACTGGTTATCCTATAGCAAACAGTCAGCCCTGAAAACATACATACAAGTAACATTATACAGACTAAAGAGAGGTTGTAAGTATGCATTTAGGAATATATATATATATATATATACATATATATATCAAGAAGTAATGGGAAAAAGAGACCATGAATTTGGAGGGAGGAAAGAGAGGGGAAATCTTGTTATTATAACATAATCTCTAAAATAAATAATAGAATATTTAAAAACTTTAAAGATAAAAATGATGAGCTATCTTAGTTAGGGTTACTATTGCTGTGATGAAATACCATGACCAAAAAGCAAGTTGGAGAGGAAAAAGAGTTTATTCAGCTTACACTTCCACATCACTGTTCATCACTGAAGGAAGTCAGGACAGGAACTCAAGCAGAGCAGGAACCTAGAGGCAGGAGCTGATGCAGAAGCCATGGAAGAGTGCTGCTTACTGCCTTACTCTTCATGGCTTGCTCAGCCTACTTTTTTTATAGAATCCAGGACTACCAGCCCTTCATGGCCCCACCTACAATGGGCCATGCCCCCCCACCCCCATCGATATCTAATTAAGAAAATGCCGTACAGGCTTGCAAACAGCCCAGTCTTGTGGAAGGCATCTTCTCAGTTGAGTTTCCCTCCTCTCAAATGACTTTAGCTTGTGTCAAGTTGACATAAAACTATCCAGTCTCATATATACTAGACAGTCACCCCTACCACTGAGATGTAACTTACCCAGATGTTTCTTCAGAAATGCCCCCCCCCATACTTCTTGTTAAAAGCATAAATTTTCTTAGTCTACAAGGTCACTGTAGCAAAGGGTCTTTGTACTCATCTGATGTATCATTCTGCTTTGCATTACTGTAATGAAACACTTGCAAGTGATGGAAAACACTTAAAGATCTTCCTCTCTAATCCTGTGTCAAACTGGCCTGTGACATCGGGGTACCTGGCACAAACCAAACAGTCAAAAACAAACATAAAGGAAAAGTTGTCCAGATATGCACAGGCCATGTAACTGTTAGTGTTCCAATCCAAGAGGATGGCTGGGTTTAAATTGAAAACACCAGGCTTACTCAGGCAATGTGTCCCAGTGCCCTTCTGTGGCCAGAGAAAGCACTTCATGAGCGGTGGTTGACACTGGGCTTTCAGGCACCTCTGAAGTGCTTACCTCATCCTCCAGACCTAACCTCAGTGATGGGTAATTTCCCTTGCTACACCTTGAGAGATTTAGAAGCTGCCTCTGGAACCATATTGTGTGTGTGTTGGGAGTGGGGTG